GCTCCCCTTTCTTTTGACAACACTCTTAGAGCTCAGTGAGTAGATGGTTTTTAAGGGTTCTTGGGATGTTGATGGGCTTAAAAAACATGCGGAAAACATTCCAAAGAATATAAAGTTGCGATCAAAATCTACAAACACAGCCCCAACAATGGATTCCACCACATCTGCAAGCACTTTGGGTGCTTTCGTTAGCCAATCGACATCATCTGGGCTTTCGTTAACTGCTTCGATAAATTCTGAATCCTTCGCATCGAGGTTGGGAGCATCACGGAGGAGATAGTTGTAGAAACCATGCTTAACAGCGACCATGGCAAGCCTTTCAGTGCAGATATTGGCAGCATGTAGGAGGCTGAGGTCGCCCAGGGGCAGAGAATGGTAGGTCATGTAAACGTGGTTGGTGAATGGTAGACCATCACGGTAGTTAAAATACCGTGATACACCCTATGGTCATCACGGTATTTTAAGTACTGCAATACCTCTAATGGTCATCACGATATTTTAAATATTGTGATGCATTTACGATCATACGACAACCGTGAAGGCTATTTTGGTCAAAAAATGCGAAAAGTGAAAAAAAAAAAAAAGGTGTGGACGAAGTTTAAGAAAGTATGGGGCTGTTTTCTAATAAACCAAATAATAAAGTATATTTCTGATAATTTCCTATAAATAAATAAAACTAGCTAGGCCTCTCCCTATAAGACATCTCTCCAAATTTTCAAACAATGGTTGACCACCTTAGTCTGCCCATTAATTTAAGGATGATATGCACTACTCAACTGTAGAATTGTACCCAGTTTTGGCCTCATAGTTCTCCAAAAATGAATTGGGAATCTAGTATGTCTATTAAATGTGATCATCTAGGCACATCATGAAGATGAAGAACAACATCTAAAAGAGTTTTACAGCATGAAACACATTAGAGATCTTTTGAAAAGGAATAAAATGAGCTAGTTTTAAAAACCACCCACAACTACAAACATGGAATGATACCTCATAGCAGTTCTAGGCAAAACTAACATGAAGACGATGCTGACATCTTCCCAAGGAACATATGGGATGCCAAGTGGAGTACAGAGGGTGATATTCAAGGAACAACCTTTTGAAATACTAACAAACACGCAATATTCCACCTATCGATTCGCATCGCCCCTTAAACTAGGCAAAAACTACCTCAAATCTATTAATGGAATAGTCTTAGCTGACAAAAATGTGGCAAAGACCACCACTATGCAACTCAATAATGAGGTTCTAGTGAAGAGAACATTCCGGTACTTATAATCGAGTCCTATAGAACAGAAATTCATCCTGAAGAACAAACCTAGTATAGAACTTGTACCAGTAAACTCACAAGACTCCATATAGGACCAAAGTATGGTCGTAAAACCTATGTCATCGATACATATAAATGTCCTCGGTGTATTGGACAAACCAAAGGATATGACTAGCCATTCAAAGACCCAAACAAATCCTCAAGGTTGTCCTCCATTCATCCCGTGGTTGAACGTAAATCTGATGGTATCCACTCCTGAGGTCAATCTTGGAGAAGATCCGAGCACCACTCAACATATCAAACATGTCATTAAGTCTTGGTATGGGAAACCTATACCTGATGGTAATCTTGCTGACTTGTACATTCCACAACAATCAATACACATTCTCCAAGTACTGTGTTTCTTCGGTAAGACTACAGGAACCATGAAAAACCTCAAGCTTTCTACACTACCTTAACGGTTATGTTACCCATGTGACTCTCTATGCTCCACTAGACGCATCCTGTAATGTGCCAAGTGGGGAAAGCTCCTTCCAATAATGAGATCTAGACAATATTGTGTATCTTTCACAGAAGGATGGCCATCAGGAAGCTCTTTGGAAGTAGGCTCCCTAAATTAATCAAAGAGGGGATTGAGCCTCTTATGTAACTGGCAGAATTTCAGCATCTAAGCCACTAGGGAGAAGATTGTCTGCATCTCCTCACTCTCCACCTCCAATTGCACTCGATTGAATCCCCTCAATCCACTCTTCTCTATGATACTGGCTAGGATCCTTATATGAATCATCCTTATACTCTCTCTCTTCCTCATCATCTAGTGCTTAGCTCCTCTCAGAGCTACACACACTAACATTTTCACAAGAGCCACAGAGGTTTCGAAGGACGTGTCGTCGGTTGTCCTAATACCTACAACCTGTGTTATTTTCACAATTGCTCCTTGATCCATCAAAGGGAGTCAACATGTTAATCAAACTTTTGTTGGATGGACAGCTTCCAGCTACACCTGACTTGACCATGTCCAAGGCCTTGTCTACAAACATGACTTTGACAACAACACTAGTTTACCTTGATCTGCCATGGAACGTGAACTCACCTAAACTTGAAATAGAATTTTTTTTTTAAGAGAAGTTCACTATAATTGTATTTCATAATACTACCATTACAAAGGTGGTGACCAAAGTGGTCACACCAAACAAGCCCAAAAAGGGACAAAAAGAAAGGCCAAAACTTGGAATAGAATTATTTTATACCTAAAGGACACTTTCTACACGCTAGATTGCTACTAGGACAAAATTTGACTTAGGAAATCTAAGGAAGCAACCAAAAGACCTCAAGAGCTCTCTCTTAGCTCTAAACAACACTAACACACTATGGAACACCATATCACACAATCGGACCTCACTTATGGACATAAAAGTGAAGAGACAACTATTTAAAAACATATTGGGCACCTTAAACTCTAGGATAGGACCTTAAACAGCTCATAAATAGGCCTCTACCCTGGCACAAAACTTGCCCTTTTACCAAACTGATGCAACCTAAGATCAGCCTCTCACGAATATTTGATTATAACACACTAATATTTGATTACAAGACCCAAAACACATTTGGAGAACAACATAAAACCCGAACAAGTTAAAGAAACTACAGCAGTAGCATCCAAGAGAACGAACTAAGCATCTGAAGTAAAACATGCAATTGAGGAAATTGTTTTAATGTCTAAGAGGTGAGATTCCAAATCCATAATGAATTGAAATCTCTTGTTCAACAATATCATCCAAACAAAATCGCCTTCCAATCAAGCCTAAGGATAGCCTACAGCCCAAAGTGGGCATAGAACAGCTTAAGATCAATTCAAGAACTTCCAAAATTTAGCTTTCAGTTATCAAGTTAATGAGAGTAAAAATTAGGTTTGATGACTTCTAATGGGTTATGTTTCATGTTTGGAGGTTTCTGCCGAGGCAAAAATATAAAGAAAGAAGAAAACAAGGGAAAATAAGGGAGAAAGAGAGAAGAACAAAATAATAAGGAAAAGAGAGAGAAGAAAACGAGAAGAGTTAGAGGACAAAAGAATTTTAAGGAAAGGAAAAGGAAGAAAGAAAAAGAAAGGAGAACACAAAAGAATCAAAGGTAATAAAAAGGGAAGAAGGAAAACGAAAGGAGAGGACAAAAGAATTTAAGGAAACAAAACAGAAAAAGAAGAGAAAAGGAGGTGGACAAATAAGGACTTACTGAGAAAAGAGAAAACGAGAAAAGAACATAAGAAGAGAAGAGAAGAATTGAAGAATATTTAGGAGAGGAAGGACCTTGGGAAGAGCCTTCTCTGGGGCCTTCAATGAAAGAACTAAGCAAGCCCTTGTAATTTTTTTGTTCAATAGTTTCTCAAAAGCTAGTTGGCAAAGGGGCTGCACCTCCCTCTCCTCTTTTAAACATACTTGGCTCAAACATAATGGCCCAAATACCCCTAAATCAAAACAAAATAATAAAGAAATAAACAACCCCTTAATTACCTACATAACCAAAAGACATAAATATCATAAAATAACCAACACAAATTAAAAGACCAAATAATCCAAGTTTTACTCTCCCAAAAAATACGAAATAAAAAAGATAAACTGTAACTGCATCACCAAATAAGGCTCCTTTTACCCCACAAAGGAGTAAATGAAAAATAATTAAACTAGTCCGAGGGAATAACATGATGCCCACATCAAGGAATTTCATGCTTTACAAACAATTAGATCTTGCTCAAATGAGCACAACAATGAAATACAACAGAAGCAAAACATAAAAAAGAAAATAGGTGTGACATATGCAAAAGTAATCTTGGAAAGGCACTTCAAGGAAAGACCAACAGTATTTAACTATTCATTCAATGGCGTCCAAACACGCCTGTGATTTCAAAAGCTATCATGATATGAAGTACAAAAAGTGAGTACCATAGGCAAAATATAAGTACCATCGGCAAAAAAATATAGCATCCATTGTAATGGAACCAAACGATTGTTCAGCTTCACAAGTTATCATCTATGTACATAAAATTGGAATACAAGCTATGAAAAAAATAGTGCACAAATTCTGAGAATACGAGTTGGGATGAGTGCCTAAATAAAGCCATATATGCGTGATAAAACAATGTCAACCATGTAAGATATTAACAAAAGGGCAAGCTTTCTATGCTTCCCCTATAGCATAGAAGTTCTATCCTCCCCTTTATCCAACCATCCATTCTGAATGGAGGGCTAAGATTGTCCCGATCACAATGTCACATCTCTACACTATTTTATTTTTAATTTTTTTTTCTATAAACTATTTTGATACCAAATTTTGGACGTCCATTCCTCTATTAAACTCGCACTAGAGAAAATATAAAAAAATATTTTCAATAAATAAAATGACCAAAATACCCCTGAAAGTTTCAAGGGGTATTTTGGTCATTCTATTTTATCAAAAAATTATTTTTAATATTTTTTATTGGTGCGCCCCCAATGAGAAGATTGCACGTACCAAATTTCATATTCATACAATTCATATAAAAAAAACTAAAAATAAAATACTTTGATACGTCGGATCTAAGATCAAACAGTGAGTGGCTCTCTTGATCAAAATTAGACGGCTGGATGGTAGGGGGAGGATAGAACTTCTATGCAGTAGGGGAAGCATAGAAACCTTTCCCTTAACAAAATAATTACTAAAATTACGATCTTGCACAGCAAATTGATGAACATACTTGGGCTCCTCGGAGAACAGCCTCAGCACATTTGCGGCTCACAATCACCTCCTTTAAAGGCTTATTAGGTTCATCACCATATTCGAGCTTGTGAGGTCCTGAACCTTGTACAACGACAACATAGTCCATGCTAGGAATTTGGCACTTCCCAATAAAATTAGTAAAAGAACTCTTTGAGTTTGCAGAATTTTTGTCATATAATTCCATTAACTTATCAATGATGACGTCACTCGTGGATTTAAGGTTGTTGACACGGATACAGGAGTAACCAGAAGGCCGCCTGTCAAAACATGAAGGAAATATCAACAAAATATTGAAAACTAAAGGAAATGGCTCAAAATAAAAAAATAAGATGTTTAATTAAATAGTTAGGGGCCAGTTTGGATGTCAAATACAAAAACCTTCGCATTGAAAAAAATCATAAGTTTCTTCATCCTTAATTAAGAAACATTGCCATCTTTTTTTATTATTACGCTGGACTGTTTGGATGGAGTTAACATACTAAAAGCAAAGTCGCATTCTACCCTTCCAAAACTCTCTTGCCAATCCAAAAGATTTTCCTGTATCTCTCGCAGCCGTAAACAATTTGCTTCCATATAATAAGCAAACATGCAACCCGAGCTTCTCCTTATTCATGAAGAGAAGGGGTTTCCCACAGTGTTTTAAAATGCAGCCGCATTAGGCGCTATGCGCCACCCAACGCATCGCACTTTCCTGCATATGCGATTTGGAGAGAGGCGCCCGCATCAGAGCCGAATCCCTCCGCATAAGAGCCACATCCTGCATCGACTACGTCAGGCCGCATAATCTGTCCATGATCTTTTTCAAAACTGTACCTCTCGGGCAGGGGTACTAAGGTCATTTTGACCTTTGAAAATGGGGGGAAGGGTTTGGGAGAGTATTAAACCACCTAAACAGCATTTTTCAGCCACATCCATGGCTTTTACTGGATCGATTGAATCAAAAAAATTTTGGGCGGAAATTTTATTTGTTGAAATTCTTCAATTTGTAATACAAGATACTACAAACTAAATGTCCATAAAGATTAAAAGTTACAAATCGAAGAACTTTTCCCAACACTTTTCAAATAAAATTTGCAACTTTAAAGAGTTTCATTGACTAATACAATAAAGTTACAAATTAATGAGTTTATAAAATTTATTGATCTTCATAAATGCTCTAATATCGTAAAGTTCCAACATTTTTATAAATTTATAAAAGTTTACAAATCGAGTCGAAGAACTTCATGGACTTCATAGACACTTTTCAAGATTAAAGAGTTCATAAAATTTGTAACTTTAAAGTTTTTGGTTGCAGATTTGTGCTTATGGTTGTTGATTGTTGAATGTTTTATGAAGCTAGTTTCAAGTTTCTAGTTTCTATCAAGAGATGGTGGACACAAAATCTCCGACAGTTAATACTTTTGGAGTTAATGAATAATCTTAATATCTATTATCACATATATCACGTCTATTTTTTTTTTTATGCATTAACCTTTTTTTTAGATATTTTATAATTTTTTATATTTATAAACTGCATCGCCACGATGCACCCTCATCGGAACCGCATCGAGCCGAATCGGCCCCCCCAACACTTTTGGCCACATCACGCATTTTAAAACATTGGTTTTTCCCATGGGTGTGGTATGAGAGAAAAGGCTCGTTTTTGTAGAGAGAAAGGGCCTTAGCCTTACAAAAATGCTGCTTAGGGCTGCCATGAATGGGGCTTGAGCTTCTCTGGTTTTTTGCAACCCGAGCTTCTCCTTATTCATGAAGAGAAGGGACTTCCCATGGGTGTGGTATGATAGAAAAGACTTGCCTTTTGTAGAGAG